CAGGGCTGAACACGAGTTGTGACCATGGTCCGTACCGGGCGGGATGGCAGAACCAGTTCTTCGCGCCATTTACGGCGGACCTCTGGGCGACATATCTACTGCATGTGGACACTCATGTACTATCCGAAGAGTGATGATAGACGGCAGGAGGTTAGCAAGATCGTCGCTTAGTAGGCGACCGCTTCGCACTCGCGGTTAATGCGAGTAAATCCACAGTGGCAAGGGCTGACGGCATTGCTGCTAGTTGCTTGGATAGAGGCCTTCAGTCACGGATGACTATGAGGAACTCATGATATCAGAACCGGCGCACTAGCACGCCAGCTCGATACAAGAATAGCTGAGTGCGGCGTTCCTATCAACTGAAACTGTTACCAACCACTCTATGTCCGTCAGCCTACCGCTCATACTGCTGCAAAGCTGTCTGTCTCCTGCAAGCACTGTCGTCTCCGTTCGCATGGTTGTATGGTGTCTTTATCATGTGTGCATGTGTGTATTGCAGCAGTGTGCAGATATCAGTGAGATCTTCATCATACATATTATCATGACCATCACAAATCTGAACGTGTTGATCACCAGTAGTGCAGTACTCCTAGCAAAACGTAGCATCAGCATCAACTGCTGTACACACTGCACTGCATGCAGTGAGCGGGCAATATCCCACGTGAGCCATCTCTTAGCCGATGTTGCCGCATCAGCATCTCCCACATAGCATGTACAAGGTATTGGCATGGTGAGCAGATAGCAGATCAACCGGCGCCTATTCCCTATGCAGGCGTTGAGAGTCAGAGACGGTGGTATATATTCCCCAGTGTCCGAGCAAGTCCCCACTCGGTCTCAAAACTCGATGGAAGAGTCCATGTGATGTTTTGAGCCTGGGGGAACTGCTCACGCCTGATAGAAAAGCAGGAAGAAAGTGGCAAGCTACGTAGCTCAGCACAGCAGACCTGTTAGCAAGGCATCATCATCATAAGCGCCATAATGGACGGTCAACGCTACGCCACACTGGAAGAAGAGCCAGCCCCGGCATACGATGCACCAGGTAAGTGCAACATGATCTTGGTCCCAGAGTCTACCCTCCCAGAGATGGTGACTTTTACCCTTCGCCACTCGTGCATGGTCGTGTTGGACATACTCTTCTAAGCACTGTGCATATTTGGACTGAACAGGGATGGTTGAAGTTTCGAGTGCCGGGAAAGGATTCACTGGGAATTCCAACCCCATTCAGTATTGTCATCATTTCCCACTACAAATGTCGATGTACTTCGTACAAGCATTGGGCAATAAACAATGAGGCTTGTAAGTTGGACAAGTACTCTAATCCTTAGCTGATGATTATGATGATGGTCGACAAACCACACTGACTATAGGGTGTTACTTATGATTGGTGTGATGCTGCGAGAAGTTTGATTGGCCAAGTGAGGAGACCAAGTCAGTGGCCTAATGTCAAGGCGCCCGCTTCGTGGATGTTCATTCTTATGCTGGGAAGCCTACTGAGGGAAGGGAAATCGAGATGAAATGCGACGTGACGTTGAGAAAGGCCTAAGTTGGGGTGACCCTCGGACTGGCAGGACTGAATACGTTGAGAGCGCCATTCTAAGACGAGCAGTTGGGAGATATTGTTACACGATCCCAAAGCGTTTGCAATCGGTCTTGCCGTAGCGGTTGCACCTCCTCTCCTTTCTGGATCAACGTTTGAGAGTATCGCGCGCGCGCGCACACACACACACACACACACACACACACACACACACACACACACGAGCGCGCTATTCCATATTCCTCAAAATGTGCAGCCTACTTTTCACTCGGGTATGTTCCTTTTTACCACCGAGTTGAGTTACTTTACAATTACATGTAATGTGTATGACATTGTAACACCCTCCATGGTGCACTGATGGGCGAAAATGAGGCAAGTACGGCCGGGAAGATCAGTCGATGCGATCATGGGGTAATGAAGTATTACTCGTGTTGGTGGGGTGAGAGTTGAGATAATTAAATTTGATTGATCGGCGTGTGCAGTAATGGCCCGAGCTTCCTCCAGGTGACCAGCACGATGCATTAGACGCACAGACGATTCAGTAGCCAGGCAAGGTCTGCTGACACGGCACCATAGCACCGTCATGCAGTGAATTACTGGATAGCTATTATCCCTTCATCGTTTTCAGGCGTATACTGTTTCGAACACAGAGCTAGAGATAGGCATCTATTGCACAGTGTAGCTAGTCCTCTCTTCCAGATAACTATCTATGAATATCAAACACTGCTAGCTGCATACGGCTTGAGGCGCGATGATAACGACTTACGTGCCCGAACCATGTTACGAAACCTACCACACGTCGTATCTACATAGGAAGCTCCCTAAGACCCCCGCACCAGCTGACAGTTCTGGTGGCATGCATGGTGAAAACGTGTGGGATCCAATGGAATGGGAATGTTCCAGCTATCCTGTGTGACAGGCCAGGCACGGTGAGGTGCAGTTACTTAGATACGCCATGGTCATACGCCGGTATGCCATGCTGCTGACGACCACAGCCAGCTGGGGCGGTCCTAGACCAAGGGCAACCAGCGCCACACACATAGTCAGCTAGTATGGGTGATTATCTACATGATTGTATAGCTGTGTAGCAACATCCGCTGCGATTTCACCCACTGATGCTGTTACACCTTAGCCTTAGGGTGACTGTGCAAAATTGGTCTTGTGAACAAAACTGAATCCATAATTAGCCACCCCCTCCCCCCCCCCCCCCCCCCGCCCTGAACCACCGAATCAAAAGATGGAGAAGGCTTCCAAAGCCTCTGTCGGCTCACTTCCGGGCAACAACAGGACCTGGATTCCTCACGCCATGCTGCCGTGTATGACTGTCAGCCATCTACTAAGACAGCGAAGGGCACATCGATTATTGATTAGGGGACTATCATTTTGTTCACTTCTTGCACATGGCGTCCAGGATAGCAGGGCGGTTCACCTAGACACGTCACTGGTGCCAATGCTGGCGTCTCTACAAACCTTTCTGTCCGCCTTGTCTGCTAAATCAGTATCCCATTTCAGGGGCGTAGGAAGGTATTTTAGTGTGGTACGGTCAGCCATCTGAAGTACAATTGACTCGTGGGGGAGTGGTGGCTGAGCCGAAAATTTTGGAATTTTAGATCCCAGATCAGTGTATTTTGTTGACTCACGGGTATCTGGGGCAAAAAGTGGTACGGTCAATACCGTAGTGACCGTACCGTGTGCGACGCCCCTGCATTTAGTCCTCCTGCATGTCCATACAGCCCCCTGAGGCCTCATGGATATGTTATAATTATGGCTTTAGATCTGTATCCAACCGTTGCTTGTGGATTTTCACGGCATGATGTGCGCGGATGCCTCGACTTTTATTAGGCTACAAGCCGTGAATGCCTTTTTCCATACGGACGTCCCTCAAATCGATGCCTCCTAAAGTGCTTAGTCGCGTTGTGGCGATCAAGGAGAGCCATGTCTGATGTGGATTACAGACCATCTACCTGGATGGATGGTCTTAGCAGTTTGTGGGTCTAGTATTCGTATTTGGGCAGTATCATTCGGGGCGGGAACTGAAGTGGCGAGGAGGAGGAGTCGTTGTACAGGTGTACACACATAATACATGTACAATCATGTATCATGTTAGCAACGGTTGTACATACAGGTTTGCCTGTTCCTCATTATTAGGCCCCGCGACAGCTTCAGTGCTGATTTGATCGCGTGCATCTGTGGATCCATTCATAGACACTGGACTTTGGAGATGGGATCAGTTCGTTCAGAGTAGCGTAGATCTGATGGATGGCGTTAGTAGGTACAATACCCACCTAGCGCAGGTTCCCCGGCCCGCACGGCTTGCATTGCGGAAGTTTGAAAGTCGCGACATGGACGTTACGTGGCGTGTCAGTGTTTACACGCCGCGCTTATAATACACCAGGTACATACGCTGCCATCAGCCAATTTGGGATGTCTAAGCACGCACGCACGCATACAGCACTTGTCTCTGCATTCTTGAACTCAGGCTGTACACGCCACGTAAGCATAGGGTATGCTAGGGGCGTGCCACTATGCGTCTCCTCCTTGACCTGGATCCTGCATGGCGACATTGGCGTGTGGCGACTGCGACCAAGACTGTGCAGCCAGTACACTGGCTCAGCTAGCTGTAACCGTCCCGAGTGCACTACTGCTACCAAGTACAATTGTACTTGTAGTGAAGCACCGTTAGTGTCGGACTTAGACATAGTATACACAGTGAACTCGCCAGAGCTGTTCGTACGTACGTACACACATCCATGCGTTGGCGGTTGTCAGACAACGATTCTCCGGCTCATTGCACTCTACATGAGCAGCACTCCGATCGCCGCAAACACTATCCTCAGTCGTCTTTCCGATCCGCCTTGCTCTCTGCAACACTGTCAGAGAGCCGCCAAGCCAAACTGAACTATGGAACCACTTGGTATGTTTTGCCACATACTCTCATTGGGATCCAAAGCATCTTCAATATGCTGCCACAAACAGAGGGTTTGGAGCGCACCACTGTCTGGGATACAGTATGACCAACCGTAGACCAGTGAGCTGAGCTGTGTGTGTGTGTGTGTGTGTGTGTGTATGTGTGTGTGTGTCGTGCACCGCTATCCATGTTCATTGTGCCCAAGCTTGCGCGTGTGGCCAACGAAGCATCGCCCGTTCCCTATGGACGCGCGCCATGATATCCACTCCTGTTCGGCTCACCATGCTCATCCATACACTTTGCTTACTGACTTTGGCTGCATAGCCGGTGAACATATCGCCCGGTCGCTTGCAATGTTCCGTGGCCATACTGCAATAGCAGGCACGAGAGAGCATCCTGCGCTGAATATAGGGGAAAGTAGTGACGATGCCGACCGTTAACTTCGGCAATCACCACCTCTTAGCCGTAAGGACGTACGTCTCACACAAATACAGCACCAGTAATACAGGCTTTATGTTGTATACGAGTTGCACTGTAGTAACACTTTCAGTCGTGTCAGGGAGTAGACCGGGGGATGGCATCACTACCGACATAACCAACATCGAAACCAGCTCCGATTGCTTTCCCTGCTCATTCCAAAACAGAAACCGTCTTGCACTTCCCCTACGTCCTTTCGCTATAGGAAGAGAGATAGAGAGAGACGCGTTAGTTTGACAAGTAAATTAGTTGACAGGAGGAGTTGGCAATTTATCACGACTCTGAGCGCAGGCGGAGCAGTAAGCGTGATTAGTCTGTGAGCATACCCTGGGCTGACCTTATCAGTACGGTGCATAGAGAATGAGCAGTGGAGAGGCGGAGACGGCCGAGGAGAAGGAACGCAGTTGGCAGAGTATGCTGACTTGGCGTCGACCAGCGAGTGGACAACGACTCGACACCGACTACATCGAGCTGGCCTCGGAACAACGCGACGACCATTCCGCAGTGAAAGCTGATGGTCAGTCGATCGCAGACGATGTGATTATTCATTGAATATTTGTGCATGTGATAATGGAACTGTCCTGCAGAGACGGTTAGGGTGTAGTGTAGATCTAAACGACCAGCAAAGTTAAGTTGACACTGGAACAAGGAGGCGGAGGCCTTACTGGATATGGTGTTGAGGTTGAAGAACGGATCACACCTCAGTCGGATTATCTTTTGCGTCAAGAATATTCTTCTAACGTTATAAGTCGAAGTTCTATCTACACCTAAAAGAGTAAAGAGTGATCGGCGTGCAATCTGTTGTGCTTAATAGTTAACACCATTGTGACGATGAACATTCGTGGATTGCGAAGGCCTCGAATAATCTACGCGATAACCATGATAACGGCTGAATGTAGTGTCTCGTCATTGCAGTATGTACAGCTAGGTGCACGTCAGCCACAGGAGCTAGGAGAACGATATCGTTGCATCGCAACACGCTGCTTTCAGATCTTCCTGGTGATACTGAGCCTGGGCTTTTTGCGGACGGTCGTCTCCAAATGGCTTGCTAATAGTGCATTCGTGCGGTACCAAATACGCCTCAGGCCAGGCGACTCGTGCGGCACAGCACAGAACGCCGCAAGCTCTCACCAGTACAGTATCAAGCCCCGAAGAGGTCTATTATTTTTAGAATGGAAGGCTCCCGTAGCAATCAGTAAAGGGATCAGTAAAGGAAGTTGATAAGCTCTTCGTCCGTTGTATTTCTGTCGCCTGTCTTGCCTCCGGGTTGTCAAGGTTCTGATGATAGGTAATTTACCTGGACTTCGCTTGTTGGACATGACCAGCCCAGTAAATCCACACTGGGCATCAGTATAGTCTATAGATCTACACCACAGTACATAGTACTCTATACTCACGTGACTCAGTGCCTGGTGTTGCATTCTAATCCGATCTGCCCGTACAGGCGTCGTGTTCGTGTAGATCTAGACACTGCAGCCGCAGTGCAGGGGCTACACTACACTCGGTAGACTACACTACAGTCATTATGACATTGTGTATATGGCTACATTGTACATATCTACGTGTAGACCTACATGGTATTCTTTACATGAAGCTGTCTGCTGTAGTCTACCAGGCAATCTTCAGTCATGGATAGAGTGTGCTACCGGTGCATCCAGGAGAATACTAGCAGGAACTTTGTGGCGAAACGAGCGACGAGTATCCCTTCTGGAGCAGCCGAGCCGACGATCGAATAAAGGGAAGAGGCAGACTGCACTAGACGATGCTTTCTGCAGAGCTCTTGCGACTCATCGAACGTAGATAACGAATGAGCATTCAGCCAGTGCAGACAGTACAAACAGTATAATTATATACCCTAGACCACAGTCAGTGCTAGTGTTCGTATTGTAATAATTATTTTGTAGTCTGCACATTAGAAAGTGCGAAAGGTCACACACGCGCACCACGATCAACAGGATTCGACCACTAGCATAATTATAGCACTCAATCGTCAACATAACAACTAACATACCAAGTCATCATTCACAACGAATATAAATCTATGGGAGTATTGCGAGGTAGGCTATGGGCCTTTGGTCTGGTCACATACTATACATGATTGTACTTTGAAGTAGTCCCTACTCGAGCTGTGAGCCTGTGTGGCTTTGGCCATGAATGGCAACTGACACTACAAGTAGATTTACATGTACAAATGTAGTGATTCTACCTTGCCGGGGTCAAGAGGTCAAATCGAGGTGTGCAAGCAATGGTAGAGATGATGCTGAAAGCATTAATTTTTCTCTGCATCGCAGAGGAACGTCATTGTAATCCGAGTGTGTGTCCGTGCGTGTCATGTTGTTCTATATGTTCAGGGGTGGGCGAAGATGTCGCACCCAACGAGAAGGTACGATGGATCGTGCAGGAGAGCGAGTTGGGACAAGCTGGAGCAGATGGAGACCAGGACGTAAGATTGGGGACTCGAACTCGTTGCATCCTCCAATTGCCAACGACTTGCGTATCCAACGGAGAAAGAATTGTTCAACACAAGACTATAATCATGATACTAGTACAATTGATAGGCACCTGGCGAAGATTGCACCAGTCCGCAATGGACTAGTCTGAGCAGTGGGTGGAGTGTTGTTGGTGTTGATAAATTCTACTTTGTGTATACAACCTGCAGTACATGCAAGCGCGTAGCCATACTGTTCGCTAGGTGTAACTGTCTCTATTAGAGGGCACACCATGATGCTTTAGCGTTGTTGTTCACGTCGCTGTGTCCTCCCCTCCCCAGCTGCTGACTGAAATGCAAGAGTTGCGCCGCAATCCTCATGGCCAGCCCGAATGGAAGGAGACAGGACGATGGGTGAAGTACGAGGAAAGCATCGAGTGGGGTGGTGACAAATGGAGCAAGCCTCACGTCGCCAGCCTGTCTCTGCACTCGCTGTTCGAAGTCAGGAGCTGTCTGCTCAGCTCTGCTGTGGAGTTGGACCTGGATGCCACTGGACTGGAGGAAGTGGCAGGTATGCACCGTGCTGCGCTGTTATGCCTGATCATCAATGACTGGCGAGCTTAGGCCTGCTATAATGTGATTGTCCCTGCGATAGACTGATAATCCATCGGCCATGAATCATATACCTGCTGTGAACATCGCACGATGGAATGTCAAGATTGAAATTATTACTACACTGAGCGTCTATGTGCTATAGTTTGAACTATAACAGACTCCACCACCACCACAAGGAATCTACATCTGACTGCAAGTCATTTCACAATTATGGTACTATTTCAGTGAGTAAGCATGTCCCATTGTCATTTTTCTTGTTCCCTGCTTCAGACAAAGTGGTTGGGTCACTGGTGCAGAAAGGTGACCTGACAGCTGAACGTGCTGATGAGGTCAAGCAGATATTCTTGTCCAAGCACAGCCATCAGTACCAGATTGCCCACCCAGAGGGCAAACAGGTAACCTGCATACCATTGTCACAGTTACAATTATTTTAACTGAAAGTCTTTACTGGATGATCTTATGCCTGATCTTATGCATGGTCTGTCAGTGCATCAATGACATAATGCATTATGTCATTGATGCCTGTCTACTGCTGTGCCAGGATTCCCCCAGGAAACATGATTCTTGTACTTCAGTACAGTCATGCCATGGGATGCTCAAATGGGTTCAAATCAGTGCACAAAACAATTTCGAGTTCAGTGTGCTAAAGTGTACTGTATGTATCTTGCTGTTGCTGCTGCTGCTGTTGTTCTTTACTAGACTGTTGGGCGTCCAGCATGCCTGCGACCCAACCTGAGTCCGGTACATGGCGGGGAAGGTGTCCGGCAAAGAGGCGAAAAGGTAGAAATAATGTAGTTCAGACCGTGTGATCTGTAAACCATTCAACTACAATTGCTGTCGATGCCACTGCTGCTGATGATGAGCACTTGAAAAGTTGTATGCCATCATTATGTATTCATCATGTCCTCATTACATCATCGTGACATGATTCCTTGTTGTGTCTATTGACAATACAAAGTGCAGTAGCATAACTAGACCAATTGGCCTTATCCAGCAGACTATGTAACTCCACTGCTCTGTCTCCTGCCTACTTCTCACTGTTGTATAGGCCGAGATGTCTCATGACCCACGCTTCCTGCGCAAGCTGTCAAAAAAGACGGAGGTTGCCAATGTTCTGATCGGCGATGCTGACTTTCTTGAGCGGCCGATCATGGTCTTTGCAAGACTTCGCACGGCGCAGATCTTCGAAGGTGTCACCGAGGTGCCACTGCCCACGCGCTTTGTCATCTTCTTCCTCGGCACGACAGGCGAGGAAGAGCGTTACCATGAATTGGGACGAGCTATCTCCACAGTCATGGCTGATCCAGTAAGTAATACAGTGTAACAGTGCAGTAAAGGTTGTTGGTGATACGGGTAGTAGAATATTTGTGTCTTGGCATGTGCAATAACACGGGAATGCCAGTTGAGAGATGAAATACACAAGCAACTAGCCCAGTGTGCAGTGTGCAGTGCAGAGTGTAGAGTTACAGATAACTGCTACTCTCCCGTAGAACAAGCCAAACTGCAGCTCTGACCAACGGACCTGTGTATTCCTTGCTGCACGCCATTGGTGTAATGTGTTGAACCCTTCCTTTTCTTTATCTTCACTCCCTGATTCCTTCCAGGTCTTCAAGAAGATTGCCTACTTCAGTCGCTCTCGCGATGACTTGCTTGCTGGCCTGGATGAGTTCCTGGACCAGGTATGTGCTTCATGACTGCTGTCCTGTACATGTATTACTGACCGTATGGCACAGAGAGTACACGGTGTGGGCAACACGGTGTGGGAAAGTTGCTCATGACGCTACTGACAGCGGAGACTCAAATCATGCGGTGTTGTGGTCTGGTTGAAAGCATCTGGCATGTCTAGAATGCAATAGGGTAATGAAAATAACACTCCTTGCCAGAAAGCAGCACAGCTGGTTTCAGATTCAAACTGCGTACATGCTGGCCTTCGGCGAAGGTAGTGCAGTGCAAACAAACTTGCAACGGATGTCAAAAAATGCAATGCGAATTTTCGCCATTAGAGACCCATATGCAGAGTTGCATGCTCTTGGTAAGGGGATCATGGTTACAATGCTCTTGATGACAAAGCATAATTCCTATGTAGCATATACATGGTCACACGATATTGATCACATGACATGATGTCATCTGCTAAGTCATGGCACATAATTGTGCATACATAATATTGATGAGTATGTTGCATGGCTTTGTGTGACTGTGTGTAGGTGGTAGTACTGCCACCCGGTGAATGGGACCCGACCATCAGGATCCCACCGCCGGCCAGTCCCAGAAAACCCGGTGAGCGACTGACCACCAACGCTCAGGCCCCCATGCCGTCCAAGGAGAAGAAATCGGCCGGCGGACATGGCGATACCAGCGGTGGCCCGGAAGAGGAATCACTCCATCATGCCGGATTGAAACGCTCAGGAAGGTTAGTTATACGTGATGCAAGACCTAAAGAGCACAGAGCATACGGTAGCTAGAAATTATCACAAAAAGCCAACATAATTAGTATGCCTCTGTGACATCGTAATATGGAACAATTTGAATTCAGCATGCCGAAATGGGTAACCAGTGTGAGATCACTACCATGGTAGCTAGTCCTGGAATGCTCGACACTGCAGATAGCTGGTGTGTTCGATGAACGTTCTTGTCTTCCCTCTGCATGTGCATCTGTTAGATGGTTTGGTGGTCTGGTTGACGACATCAAGCGCCGTAAACCTCACTTCTGCCCAAGCGACTTCAAGGATGCACTCAACATCCAGTCACTAGCCTCGATCATCTTCATCTACTTTGCCTGCATTGCGCCAGCCATCACGTTTGGTGGCCTGATGGGTGACAAGACTGGATCATACATGGTAAGACCCTGTGCACCGTTGCTAAGCATTCTATCAGCTACTTAATTTACTATGTTGATGGAAATTCATCTCCCGGTGACACATATTCAGCACCTGGTTGACCTTGGCTGCGCAGGAGTACAGGATATGAAATGTCCAGTGAAATGTCCGGGGTTATCAAAGAGCACTTAGATTATTGTGGCCGGTATCAATGCAGTTTGTACATCTCTTTGGAATCTAGTTCTTAGAACTGACACAAATAATAGCACAGTGGGCAGCAGTACCATAAAAGGAAGCGATGAGAGAGAGAGAGAGAGAGAGAGAGAGAGAGAGAGAGAGAGAGAGAGAGAGAGAGAGAGAGAGAGAGAGAGAGAAAGAGAGTGCGTGTGTGTGAGAGATAGATAGATAGATAGGGAGAGACTGAGAGAGAGAGAGAGAGAGAGAGAGAGAGAGGAGGGAGGGACAGAGAGAAGGAAAGGATAGCTATTTTGACATCTGAATGCATCACCATTGTTTTGTTGCATTCCCTGCAGAGCACGATGGAAATGATCTTGGCATCGGCCCTTTGTGGTTGTGTCTACTCATTGACTGCCGGTCAACCTCTGACAATCCTGGGCGCCACTGGACCTATGCTGGTGTTTGAGGAGATTGTCTACTCGTTCAGCGTGGAGAATGACATTGAGTACATGTCGTTCCGCGTCTGGATCGGCCTCTGGACAGCTTTGTACTGCATCATACTGGTGGCAACGGATGCCAGTGCTCTGGTGGGCCTGTTTACTCGCTTCACCGAGGAAACATTCTCAATTCTTATCTCCTTCATCTTCATCTATGAAGCCATCATGAAGATCCACAAGCTTGGGGTAAGTAATTATGTATGCCCACCATATTTTGTTATGCCCATCATATCTTGTTATGCCAGAGGGGGCCGAGACGCACTTTCTGATGTGGAAATAGTTAATAAGGATTGCAATGAGAGTCAGATTCACACAGAACACATGCATTAAAACTCCTCAACACAGCCTTGAAAAGTCAGAAGATGCTGAGCACAGACTGACATGCCGTACCTTCTCTCTTTCATTGTGTGTCTTTCCACAGGAAAAATACCCACCGCTCGAAGGCTTCAAAACTAACTACACCTTGGAGTATAACTGCAGCTGCATGACTGGCAATGAAACGCTGGGTCTCATGCCCTCGGAGCTGACCTACAGTACATGCAGCGAGGACTTCAATGGCACGGCCGTCGGCAAGGGATGCCCACCGCTTGACAAGAGCGGCGACGTCTTCTTCCTGTCGTTCATCGAGTTCCTCGGCACCTTCCTGATCGCCATCATCCTGAAGATGTTCAGGACCATGCCTTTCTTGCCAACCAAGGTATGTGGCACAACTTGACCTTTGATCAGTGTAGTCTGTTACATGTGTCATAGCAATCATGAGGCAGCTGGCTGGATACTATGTGTTATGGGTAGTCTAAAAATCGGTATTAACTTTGTCCATGACTGACGTTCTAGTGTTGATAATGAACTGAAGTTGATCAGATTGACAATACAAGCAGTGTTTGTTTGATTTTTAGCACCTTTGTTGTTCCTGAAGTAAATAGATTCCATTGACAGTTACTATACCCACATCCCCGTGATCCGGCTTATATCTTTCTTTCTTGTCTTCTCACTTGTTCCCATTGCTGGCTAACCAACACCCATTCCATTCATATTGGGTACTGCGGTGAATACAATCGTTAACTCTGCGTGTGTTTGTTGTTGTGTTGTTGTTCTCAGGCACGTGCCATCATTGCTGACTTCGCCGTGATCATTGCTATCATCTGCATGGTCGGCATGGATGTTGCCTACGGTGTCAACACACCCAAGCTGCTCGTGCCGGAGAAGTTCCAGCCGACTCGCCATGAAGACCGCGGCTGGTTCATCAACCCCGTACCAAAGGGCCTGGTCGCCTGGGTGCCGATTGCCGCTGCCCTGCCTGCTCTCCTTGCCGTAATCTTGGTGTTCATGGATCAGCAGATCACCGCTCTCATTGTCAACCGCCGCGAGAACAAACTGAAGAAGGGACCAGGATATCATCTTGATCTGCTGATTGTTGGTCTCCTTGTTGCAGTGTGTTCACTGCTGGGTCTTCCATGGGTAGTGGCGGCCACCGTGCGCTCCATGACACACGTCAACAGCTTGAACATCCTGGACGAGAAGACCGCACCAGGCGAGAAGCCAAAGTTCTTGGGAGTACGGTAAGTCCTCAGACTGTTAACTAATCTAAAGTAGCTACTCGTAGGCTGTTGTGTACTGTTCTAGGCAAGGACTGATTATTTTCTTTTATTCTTATCCACACAATAAGGGGTGGGGTATAAACTATATACCAATCAAGGGATCATTTAGACTCCGTTCACAGCAGGTCTGTATTACCTTTGCATGCCGGCATATCTCTCAATGTGTGAGCATCCTGACTAGACTGTTTGTGTGTTGCCCACTGTGTGCTTGTCGCGTGTTGCAGAGAACAACGTGTCACCAACTTCATGGTGTTCTTGCTTCATGGACTCTCAGTCTTGATGACACCGATCCTCAAGGTGAGACAAGTTACTGATCGCCATACCCCCTGCCCCAGGATAATACACCCTGCCCGGAAACATGTCCCAGGACAAGGGTTGATTATCCCAGGGCTTCCCCGTAACTTCAGACAGTAGTACTCTATGTCCAATGAGGCACTTGTGATGCCAGTTTGAATGTGCCTATCGGCTTTGTCACATGTACTGCACTCCTTTCACGTGTTCGATAAGAGCATTCCACATCCATGCCAGTCTTGTCAAATACAGTGTTATCTGTACCTCTGCGTGCACTGTAGCTTGTCCCGTTGCCGATTCTCTACGGTCTCTTCCTGTTCATGGGAGTGTCGTCACTGAAGGGTGTCCAGTTCTGGGAGCGTGTACAGCTTCTCTTCATCCCTCCCAAGCACATGCCCGACTCATACTACGTCCGGCACGTTCCCAACCATCGCATGCATCTCTTCACCATTTGCCAGCTGGTGTCCTTCGCCATCCTGTGCGTCGTGAAGCAGACCGCGGCCAAGCTCGTCTTCCCGATTGCTGTGAGTATTCTATGCACTGCACAGAGTCTCTACCACACGTTTATCACATCAGCTGACAGCAGCTAGGGTAGCCATGTTGGTTCCCGCTCGGGTCGAGCCCCGCAGGAATGGGTCACATGATATTGGCCGTGCTAATCCACTGACCATGTGCCGTGCATGACTTTCCACACAAATACTCTTTACAATACAAACATGATGAATATGTGAAACAGCTCTATTGCTGTTAGTAGACCTATAGTGCTATATGGCTATTATTATACTACTCACTCCACAGCACTATATTCAAGCTGTACAATCTCATGAACAGTGGTAGGAACAAGATCAGGACGTCACGTTCTCCTGTCACTTTGGTGCCATGCGGTGGCGGCGGTTACGTGCGGTATGCAGAGCAAATCCTGAAAGCACACTGTCACTGGTCTGTGAGTCAAACACATCTGATTGCTGAGTGTTCGTCCATCTTGTGTTGCTCCCGTGACAGGTGCTGGCACTTGTTGTCGTGCGCTACTTCCTCAAGTACGTCTTCACACCGCAGGAGCTGAGGATTCTGGACGATGAAATGCCCGAGCTGACCAAGCGCAAGAAGGAGGATGGAGAGGATGTTGAGGTGAGTCAAAACGGACAACTAAGTCACCTCTTGAATTTGTATTCTGTATGGCCATGACCGTTTTCTGGACTTGCCTTGGTCGGGTGTGTGTTTTGAGATATTAAATCAACAAGTTGACACATTTATAGGGCATGAACAGAAAGAAACATTTTGGTTGGCACCATTGGATGTTTTCCAAACCATCTAAATATTCTTTTCATGTCTTTCTACATGATGTGTGTCTGTAACTGCATGGTACAGGCTGCTCCGTATGACGAGAAGAACTACTTGAGACCCACGGCCGTTGGAGACCAGGCCGTTGCTGAGCGATTCCGCCCACTCAACATCACCACAGCGATTGACGGCAGCTACCCGATGCAGTACGCAAAACGCCGCATGTCCGGCTGCTCCACTGGTGGTCTCCTTCCACATGTTGAGAACAGCGTCTAAGCGTGCCGCTGCACACTGCGGGTGACCGCTTCTTTACCCTCTTCATTTACTCTGTACTACTGATCGATACGATATCTGAGCGTACGAGCTATTTGTAATCTTACAGCAGACAATACTCTTACGAACTCTTCTGTCCGAAGTCCCGTCTCGTCTAAACCGTGTCTGTTATTTTCTGTAAGTGGAGGCCTCTCCTTTTTCCACACACACCATCATTTTGAACCCAGCACATTCACCAAACAAAGTAACGATTATCAATGGAGCAGTATCCTCTTATGAGGCAATGCATGCAAGGGTGTTGACCGTAACATGCTGTCAGCATATTGGGCTTTCTGTGCTTCTGTCTTGAACATAATATCCGATCCAGACCACTTCTTGTTCTGTCAAGCTCCCATGTGTGTAGTCTCTCTCCAGCTCTCCTGTCTGCTCGTCCCATGTTTCAGTTATCTGGTTTTGATATGCACCGTTCTCGCAGTTTATATTCTCCGGTATTTTGACGATGGTAGAATTGACATGCTGTGAGTTCATGTATTACAAAACCAGTCTATTTCAATGTACTCTAGCCTAGACTTTAAAGCTCAACATGATCAGGATCATGCTTCATAATAATATAATGTATGCTGTACAGTGCCTCAACACAAGACCTGTTTGACTACTTGCAGTCAGACTCAACCTCACTGCACTCATTCATTAGCACTCGGATACCCAATAACCCGTGGTGCTGGTTTGCCTTGCTGTTTGTATAAACATTGTAGACCAGAGTGATGGCCCCGCACCGTGGTCATTTGCCTTTTGTAGCAGATCTCCGGTGGAGCCTGCCCTCTGCTCGGCTCTTCCAATCTCACAATCATCTCCTTTTCTCACCTGATCACTTGTTTCTTGCTGACTCCCTCGTTTTCTCTCTCTCTCTCTCTCTCTCTCTCTCTCTCTCTCTCTCTCTCTCTCTCTCTCTCTCTCTCTCTCTCTCTCTCTCTCTCTCTTTCTTTCTTTCTTCCGAAGTTCTTCTTCTTCTTCTTTCTGGCTGCCTGTAGTCTGTCTGTCTACCTCCGTTTCTCTGTCTCCCGGTCCGTCTTGTCTCTCCTTTTATCTGTCTGTTTCTCTCTCTCTCTCGTCGCTGTTTCTCTCCAACTTTCTATTTCCATCCTTCTCCTATCCATCTTCGTCTTCTCTTCCCAGTTATGCCCTTTTCATGGTATGTTCTCATACCTGTTCTTCATTCTCTCTCTTGTCATCTCTATGACTACTCTTCGCCCCTCTAATCTGTCAAAGTTTCCTTTTTCTTCCATGCCTTCCTTCTCTGCTTCTCCTCTTTCAACTCACAGTTTGGCATGGATCACCGCTCTTTACTTATCAGTCTCGTTCATGCATGCCAATATTAGTACCCATAATAATTATTTAATGCAGAAATGCAAGGTTTCAGGATATGAAAATTATATCAATGGTGGTGTGCTGTTGAATGGTTGAAGGTGTGCAGAACCATGATACATGACTGTGCAATGTAAACATGTGCTGTAGATCTACATGATCAGTGATGATTGTACATGCTAGGAGTAGATCTGCTGTACATACTACAGTAGCAGCAGACCTACTAGAATGCTCCATATCCATGATATCCCCCGTGTAGGAATCCTAAGTCACTTGAGTAGCAACAACTGCCGAATTGGCGATCCCTAGTGGATTATTGTCTTCTACTACTATGTACATTGCACAGGTGCAGGCGTGTACATGTTATAATGCACGCACGCACAAAAGGGAGTACATGCAATAAGGACCTTGGTTGGTTGGACTACTCGGAACTCGGGACACAGGAAACAGTTACAACTACTATTTCTTATGTCCCTTACAACCTAGCTGGCAAAGGATGCCACCGGACTACATTGTAGGACTGTGGATCATGCCTGCATAGAAATGGTGTAGTCTTGTGTATCATGGCTGGCAAGGCATGGCATGGCTAGATTGGCATGGCATGGCTGGCATCTACCGTTGTCGTTGATGCCTGCTCCGTGTTTAGGACAGAACCAGGGAGTCGTATAACTAAAAGGGCTTTTGCGACTCCGGGCCCTGGACAGAACAATAGGCATAGTGTGTGTGCAGACGCCACGAGCACACTCTATCGCAATACCCTTCACTGACACAGTCTACGGCTGATCTCCACTGCGATACATACATGACGATCAGCCGGGTCGTTCAGACCTCAGCTTCATCGTGTGATTAGGCGTGATAACGAGTCCTTGCGACAACTTCAACTGCTTGCCAATAGTACTAAGCCGCGGCCAGGACAAACGCTGGCTCTTCTGGACTACGGCGTCCAGTAATGAGAAAGGAGTGACACTTGTCCAATGTCCAATGAGTTGGGGACGTCATTAACGATGCCACAGATGACGATCTGCGGCAAGACGAAAACTTTCAAAAACCGTGGAGTGTGACAAGTGCATCGCAGGTGTGGGGGCACTTGCTTGGCCCTGGCCTCCTCGACCACCCCAAGGCCCACCAAGAAGAACACTTTATTAGCGATGCTCGGACCATATTCATACATTCCAAGGACCAGTGAAACAAACAACAACTATTCTCATTTCGAGGGCGGAATAACAACGCTCTGTAACACTCACTTTGCCTCCTCTATCACTCACTAACACCCACAGCGACACCTTTCGTGATTAATTTTTTTTCATCATTGTACTAGAGATATGGACCAGGGGCAATTATCCAATCGCCAATACTCTTGCAAGCACGCCTTCTTGTTTTGCCAATACGCTCTGGCTACAATTATTTGGTCACATATCGCCATGTGTTAACGCTCAGTACATCTAAATGGAGCAATTAGTTGATCACACTTTGGCCTTTGCGATGTACTAGAACGCCGGCGGAGAGTGGAATATTAATTGCGCGGAGAGCCGACCACCAGGCAACTAACTACCTGTGCTAACTGCAGTACGCGCATACGAGCATTAAACATGACATTGTATTCTTGGCCATGATCCAACACCCCGCTAGCAGGAGCAATCCACAATGTCACACTATCTCACCAGCCGCGTAGCAGAACGAAATAACTTGGTGTTGGTGTTGGAGACACGCCTGCTACCTCACCACTTCATCAGCGAACGAAGATTGCAAGGAGGACCTCCGACCAGTTTACGGTTGCCCGGTGAACCAACCGTCCGTGCTATCAGCTTGTAAAACTAAGTGTGTCAGTGCAGTGGCATGTGATGCGGCACTCCATGAACAGACACGACTACTGTAAGTATTAGTTGTTGGGATCAAGTCATGGATTATGTACCCTTGGTAGAAGCGAAGCCGAAGGGAAGTGCAATACTACATGTACATGTGCTGAGCCAGGGGCAACACAAAGGTAAAGACTAAAAGAGAGAACGAAAAAATCTACAGGTCTGGTGAGAGCAGCTGGGTAGCAAAAGAGTATGTGATAATGCCACGAGAACCTCCCCATATCATATGGAAATACAGATCGTGGCAACACGTCTTCTTTCTCTCCATTGTTCCTTTAGTGTTTCTATATTTCTCCTCCCTTCTCATTGGCTAAGCGGCGTATTAGCAAGAGTATGGGAGTTTTAAAATGTACTCTCGGTATTTGTAGTATTCCCCCCCGTCTGTGAGTGTGGTGCGCTGGTATGGCAGCTCTCTTGCACGGAGACCTCAGATCTCTCGGCACAGGTTCCATGCTAATACCCACGAGTACACGCCCTCGGTCTGTCTGTCTTCCTTTCTTTGTCGCGTCCAGTCGTCTCTCGGTTCTATCTGGTGCTGTACTCTTAGTCTTAGTGACGCGGTTCTCTCAGGAGGCGCAATCGAATCGTTGACACACGATGCAGATGACCAGTTTCCAGACGTGTACGTCATGCACTGTGTCTGTGTGTCTGTAGCTTCGAAGTACATGATTGTACTGTCATGCAGATGTGTGCATAAACAGTATAAAACACTAAAGATTGGTGTATGAATGAAACAGATAATAACATTCACAGCGCCGCTCTAAATAATGGAGTTTCTGATGTTCCCAACAACTGTCGGGGAACATCAGATATAAGGCGAAACCTCAAAGTCCTTTCGCCGCTGGAAAGTCAATGTGCCCACACGTACCTCACTGTGACTTGACAGCAGACAGAGCGGAGAGTTACACTATTCGTCGCCTGAGGCGGTGTGGATGCTCATAAGGCAGTGCACTAGCAAGGCTCCTGCCAGTACGGAATCTGAGTCCTGCCATCTTGATTGTATTTGCACGGTGCATGTAGACAGCCTGTTAGTACCGTCTTCACTACATGTATTACTACTACTAGTATTGTACAAGTGGTCAGCTGCCGAGACACGTGTCTGTTGGGTCATGCCCACTTCAACTTTCAAGGCCTGTGTCCACCCGCTCCGTTACACACCAGGTGAAAGGTAGCAATGATTGTGTTTGGCCCCATGCCTGAAAGCATCAGTTCTGTTGTTGACGCCATACACAAACCTTGTTCGTATGTAGGCTTGTGACTGCACAGGAAAGACGTTCTTGTTGAGCTATTTAGACTTAGAAGTTACCTGTATCCTTGCAATAGTTCGCTGTGTAAAATCTTTCCGTCATCGCAACCACCAACAATACAGTCGTGTGTCCTATCGTTCAACAGCTTCAAGCTTACCATTACCAGTAACCAGGACGGCACTCACCGCGGAGCCAGGCAAGCTGACATATCCAGGACCACCACCGCGGCATGGACGTGCGGCCTGCATCAGCGCATGCATGTGGAGACTTCTACCGATTTCAAGTGAACCCCGGCCCAGTACGTTGCCACTCTCCAGACTTGAAATGCAGTCAGAGAAGGAACTACACTCAAATGCCTCCTATCCGGACGCCTCAGATACGGGCACGTCTCTCTACCGGCCACCTTCAGCTTGAGCTCCATAGCACAAATGCTTCGAATTTGGGAGTTTTGAACTTTTTCCGTATGTGGAAGTGCTTATTTTTCATTGCCAACCTATGTAATTCACACACTTTTATCAATCGGTTCCTTTTGTATCCTGAACACATGCAATACGTTCAAAATAAACTTCTTCACAAATGATACGATACATAGTAGCTGAGTTATCCTGAGATACGGACAAATCTGAGATACGGACAGTGCCCGGTCCCAAGGTGCCCGGATAAGAGACGTCCGAGTGTACAGGACATAATGACGATGCACACTAGTACAGGCCAGATACATGTAGGCACAACCAAGTGTATAAGCCTCCGGCTGGACTTTGTATACTGTGGATTTGGACCAATGGACTCTATACAGGGGATGGACATCATTATACATGTAGGGGCTGGACGCCGCTCTACTGAGTCCAACATAATTATACTATTGGTACAACTCAGTGCCCATTGGAACAGTTTGCTTTGCCAGGCTTCTACATACAGTCACAGTGGCACAATGAAGATGGAAACTGGTAGACATCAACTGCATCATACACATGCCTGTGAATAGTGCATGCTCAGCCATCTCAAGTCTTTGAATTAAGAAACATATTCACGAACAATTGGAGTAGAAGTCACGACCAAACCTCTAATGCCAACTGACAACAGTAGCGAACTTGTAGTATAAGTGATAAATTTCTTCTTCATCCCATTAGCAGGAAAACTCAAAAATGTTTATTGATTACGGTGATCGAGTCTCATCGTATTTCACAAATAGAACGAATTTCTCAGGTTGCGCAGGAAGAGATCATTGCACACGTTTCCTGCTACTACGGATAACATAGAGTTCTATTACAGTAATACTAGTGTGGAAGAAAGGTCAAATTTGTGACGAACTAGAAGGTCTTTGCTACGGTCCTATCATCAACACGTCAACATCTCACCCAAAGTTCCAGGCTTTGAGAAAGGTCTTTGATAATCCTATTACTGCATGATGGCCGGGGTTTCGCTGAGCTGTATGGCTTTGCGGATGCTCTCGATCTCGTTTGGCAGGAACACCCATGGCACATTACTGGTCGGGTGCAGGCATCGCTGCTTACTGGGGCACGAGACAGCACCTGGGTCACTCCATTCGATATGCATGTAGGTACAGAACAGGCAGTAGCGATGACGCTCAACGGAAGGACATTGTACATACTGGACAGATTTGAGACCACAGCCGCAGTGATTGCATGATTTCTGCGGCGCCGACGCAGAGTCACCACTGGCTGCCGGTGTAGGCGGGGTCTGGGTCTGAGGTTTGGAAGAGGTCTTAGGCGATGATGACGATGACGCGACAGACACAGAGTCACCCGTAGTCGTAGTCTCGGCAGTCGATGATGCACCTTGCGCTGCTGTTGGTGTTGCTGCTGACGCACTTCCTGAGGAATTTGTAGCTTTGTTGGAGTCTACATCAGTCCTTGTTCCAGTGCCCCCATCAGGTGTTCCTGCACTGTTGCTAGAGCTGCTGGCAGTGTCCGCCTTTGCAGTAGATGTGCTGCCGTCTAATGAAGATGATGAGGGCGTCTTTCCATCATTAGCCTTATCACTATTGGCTGCTGTCGCCGCTGGTGTTGCTACTGCTAGTGTTGCTGCTGCTGCTACTGCTGCTGCTGCAGCTGCCACTGCTGTGGAACTAGCACCGTTACTGCTGTTGCTATTGGTTACACTAGCATTGCTGCTATCCTTAGTTAGCGCCGAGCTGGTTGCCATGGAAGTGGTGGCGGCTGAGGCGGTAGAATCCCCAGCAGCGCTAGATTTATCTGACACTGTTGCAGTCCTGTCCCCAGGCTTGTCCTTGGATTTGGCTGTTGCTGCTGCTGGTGACGCTGGTACCGTCAGGACGTTGTCGGTGGCAGTCAGATCGAATGCACGTTGCTTTGACGCCGGCGATTTGGGTATGCCACCACGATCGAGGCGCTTGGCGGCTGCTGCCGGACTTGGTTCGGACATTCGTCGCGGTGGCACGCTACCGGGTCGGGATGGTGACATGGTGGCGTAGGGATTAAACACCGGCGATTCCTCAGGACCACTTCGCTTCATGGCTCTCCAGCCGCCGTAGTACGTGAACGCGCTGTCGTGCCCCGCTATGTAGCCACCGTACGGGTTCTGCCGCAAGTAGTCCGGAGCAACCAGCGGGTTGTAGGAGCCGTAGCCCGCGGTCGTGTCCATTACTCGAAGGCCGCCATTCCCGTAGGAATTGACGCGCCCGCTCCAATCCGGTGAGTAGGGTGTCATGGGTGATGGGAAATCGTCAAAGCCTGGTCCTGGTCCTGAGCTATCTGCCCTGGCTGCAGTCGGCATAGCGGGATTGTTCATGACATTGCCACCAGCTGAAGTACTCCCAACAATGCTAGTAGTAGGTAAACCTGTACTCGATATGCATGTGCCAGGTAGTTCAGCTGCCCCCATGAAGTCCACAGCATCCGTGCTCTGCGGTGTGGCCGGCTCGAAGCGCGGCCCCGCTGCCCCGACGCTGGGATGCGTTCGATGATTGCTGGAATCCACCTGCGGCAGTGCGGTGCACGTACTGTCCAGCTGTGTGCCCGTCGAAAGGCACTGCGTTACGGTAGGGTCGCCAGCGATCGCTGTGCTGGGTCCGCCGCCGCATGTCGTCACTGGTCCCGCGCTGCTCGTCACCCCCAGCGGTGTACTTCCGCCCTCCAGCTCACGCAGACGCCTGGATTCGTGGATGGCATCCTCGACGCGATCCAGACCTTCGTAGTTCACACAGCCACGGCACACGGGCTGAGAGAAATCATTCAAAATGGTCCAGGACGATTTGGGCAGGTCGCACAGGAAGCATTTCTGTCTCCTGGCCATCCGGCTTGATGCGCTGGCGGACATGGTAGAGACCTTCGCCTGACGAATTCAAAACAGAATTATTATTACGATTTTGCAGAAGTCAACAGGAATATTCCTGGACGCTCAGCGTAGAATTTGCGAGCACTACGTTCTGCCCATCAGCTGCTGTCAAACTCTCATATTGCGAAACTAGATAAAAACAGAATGATGATGAACTGAACACCATACACCGCCACTGAACTGGAAGCATCAAGTCAGGGCGCGGAAGGTCCCAATCCAATGTCTCCCTAACTTGTTATTAGCTAAGCTAAAATGTGAGAGCTAAACAGGCAAAGCGCATCAGGTACTGTTTTCCCAAGTCAAACAACTTGGGCGACGAGACGTAGCGCTGGAGCCGAAGTGGCAGCAGCCAAGCAAGCTGTGAACTAAGGCTGGATGATCGACTGTCAGCGGGGAAATATTCATCTCCAGTCTAGTCAGGAACGCACTCGGCCCCGTCGTCTGTGCAACCCTAAGTCCGGCTGCTGCTGCGGCAGCTGCCTGTACGCTGCCCGTCATTGCGTCAACATGCTCAAGGCGCACGGCCGGCTCAGCTGGTCCGTTCTAGGAAAGGCAGTGCGGAACATGTCACTTGTCAGCGGGCTAAAGATCAGCTGATAACTGTCTTGTAGTAATCTGCAGCGATGGTGCGCGCAGCGTGCGACGTGACTGCGACTTCGCCTGCCCACAATAATGGGCCACAGACTCAGTATCCAGCACCAGCGACTAGAGACAGACAAGGACTAGCAGTATAGCCTATAGGTGGATAGAGTGAGGCTCAACTACGAATACTATACATTCTGAGATTTGGAGGAGAGGCGGAGGAGTGCAGCCGACCTTGCAAAGACGTTCAAGTAAGCAGCCTAGCTAGCTGTCAGGCAAGGCCGGTGCGAAGAGTCTAACTGTAAGACCTAGCGTACCCATGCGTACCCATAACTACTCGACAGGTACGGTGTGTTTATAGAGTTGAGTCTAGTTCATAGCAAGAGGAGACGTCATCTCGCTTGTCAGTCTACAACCACACGAACAGTGCCAAGCTGCGAAAATGCGATCAAGCGTCAAGATCATAGAGCTAGGCGTCCGCACCGCCATCATGACATCTCCAGACTATGCGTGGACGTGTTGGCACCAGCCATTGTCTAGCGCATAGTCCTAGTCTATAGTATCCAGGCCAGGTGTGTGTGTCTGTGTGAGATATTTTCCTTGGTGAATCGCTATGGTCCGTATGGATAGGGAAGTGTGACTGGATGACAGTGATACAGTGTGACCCAGCCAATAGTCAGTACAACCATTGACAGTGCAGACAATGCACACAATCAGTTGGTCATGTGCAGGTGAAGTATCAAACACAACCTCTCTCACGCCACGGTACTGTGCTCTCACTACTACTAGTCTACTGACAGTACTGTGTTGTACTTCAAGTACCCGTATTAAGACTGTGCAGGCATTACATATGCGCAACAAAGTCCTGTTCTGGAGTTTTTGTCGGCCCAGCACTATGCAGATACATGTACTAGTACTGTAGTAGCCACAATAGTCGACGTTGCCTTCTGCCTTCATACGACTGTCAGTCCCAATACGTGCAGTTGCCAATTCCACCTGGTGCTCCACTGCCCTGCATTGTATGTGTGGTGAAAACACACAGTACAAGATGACTGAACGGTATACTAGTACTTCAGTACTTATACATACATGTAAGTCTGGGGAATGAGAAAGAGAGAAAGTCCGAAGAAAAATTACTCACTGTCACCATCATTCAGGACTGGAATCGAGGTTAAGACCTTCGCTAAAAGCCAGTGATGCCCCTATGGAGTATGGTGTAAACAAGTAGTCGCCCTCCGACTGAGCCGCGACTGTTCAACATTTTCTTCAAACTTCGAAACTCACACTTCCTGTGAAACTACACAGGCTGGTGGGACGCAGTCCTCACGATACTACCCACACACCTCCTTACGCAAAAACTACATCATGTAGTACTTCAACTTACTTGGGGAGCAAGTCAGGGGAAATGAAAAGGGAAAAGTCCGAAGACAAAATGCCTCATACAGCCACACTGCAGCAGTTTCAACCATCTTCTGTCTCGCCTGCGGAGCTCAGAGTCACTGGCCAAACTGATTGCAATGTCTAAATTGTAAGCAATATTTTGTTCAACCTGCTCCAAGCATCAGCAGTCAGAGTGCTACCGTGTGTAAGCCATGTCACTTGTCAGTAACTGCAAGAGGCAAGGAGTGTCCATGTAGATATCAGCCACTGTCTACACAGACAACATTTCAGGCGGCCGTCTTCATTAGGGGCCAGTATTTTTCAGACATACGTGTACTTTCTAGCAGTGCAGGAGTACATGTACTCCGAGTAGAGAGTTAGGACACGATCAGCACGTGTAGTTCAGTCAGTCCTGAGTCTGTGCACTTCTCACCACGCATACCCTAAAGAAAAGCCGACAGTTGATACGTAGTCTACGAGACGCAGTCTTGCATGACCGCTCCTCGCCTCACTCACGAGTTGTAACTCCCACTCACACTTCGCAGTCCCAGCTCAGGCCTCAGCCCCAGGGCGCAGATCAGGGAGTCACGGCTTTCTGATACCTTTAGAAGCGCAGATGCTCCGAGGCTGCAATGTGGTAGGCGGAGGAACATACCAGAGCGACAAGGCTGGAGCTGTGTCTGGGCTTGTGTGGCGCGCGCGTCTGGATGCAACAGTGTCTACGACCATCTGCTGGCAACATTGTACTGCCACATGCAGTCACTTCACTGGTAAGTGGTATGTGACATCAACCATCACGGATTATGCAGTAGCTGACGATAAAGTACCCATGCAGAGGAAGATGACTGCTGCTAATGAGTTGTCACGCACTCTTACAGTGTCGAAGACCACATCTCGCGAGATTAGTAACCATTTCTCGCTTCCCTCCTGTGCGTTTGTTGCCTATCGCGTCCATGTTTGTATTCGTTTTGCTTGTTTTTGGTAACACAGCCCCATGCTGTGTGATCAGTCGCATTGAGAGAGTAAGATGACTACATGTACTAGCAGCAAACAAGCCTTGATTGTCCTTGTTGTTCTGTTCTCTAGCAGATCAAACAACATCATTCAACGTCGTTCCTCAGTGTTGTCGGCAACCATCAAGACGACTGCAGATTACGATACGCGGGCTGTACACATGTACGTGGCCCTGCTGCAATAACGAGCTGCCCAGTAAAGAAAGTATCTGATACTGATGAGTGGGCAGATCTTCGACTGCTTCTTGACGGGCAACGTACCTAATGCGACCAGACCGCCTCCTGATTTAGCGCATCGTGTGCTAGCCTCACCGCATCAATGCCAGGCTACATCTGGTGCGAATAGGGTGAGAGTACGAACGCTCTTGTTTAGCACTTTACTAAAGAGATTAGGAATAGTGACAGAATTACAGAACACTGCTACAGTAGTAGTTGTGGCTGTAGAAGGTCACAACTCTGTAGGTGGTCCGGTAAACACAACCAGATATACAGGTCAGTGGTGGGGTCAGATAAGAGTTTGCTTTGGACGGCGTTCTTGCAGTCTTTTCGTTGAATGACCTCCACACCAGCAGCACGTGTCGACAACTGTCAAACTTCGAACTTTTCAACGCGACCGTGCAGCAGCCACAGGTCCATCCAACATGGCACATGCCTGAAAAAGGAGCTGCTCTCCGGTCGAATAACAGAAGGATTGCGCATGATGGTGACGGTGTGCTTCGTCATGCGTCAACTCGATCCGCATGCCGTACAAGCCAGTGCAAGAGTGAACCACCACAAGCAGCTCACGGCCAGTCTGCCAGTGTTTGGTAAAGGAAACACCGACTGACCGGGTTGAGATAAGCGCACACGTACATGTAGGGGTAGTCTTGTGATGCAAACGAGTTACGACTTCTGAGAGGAAAGGAGAAAGCAGAGGCAAAGCACGTGTTTCGATGATGGACGATCAGCCAGCCTCTGCTTAGTTGTGGTGGGGCGGCAAAGTGCACAGAAACAAATCAGCAGCGTGATTCAAACAGTCACGTAAGTCTTTGACAAGTATCAAGTTCTAATGCAGCAAACAGGCGTCCACAATAGTGATGGGCTCTTGCAACTGCAGCCAGTGCAGGTAGCAACTCACGCCTTTTAGCCAATTCACGCTCTTCTTGCGCCAGATAAGCTTAACGCCTGAAGACAGGATCAAATGTTTTCTGGGCTGTACGTGCTAGCGGGATGACATATGGCACAGACGGCGGCGGTGATTTCACAAGAACCCAAGCGGCCCAATCAATAGACCGTGCCCAAAAACTCCAAACCCATAAATAGAAAACACAAAACGCAGAAAGACGGAGAGAGAGACAGAGACAAACGCACATACACACACACACACACACACACACACATACACACACACACAATAGCGAGAGGTTTCCAGATTACCTAGACTAGAGTGCTCAACACTGCAAGGATGGAGCATTGGCACAAAGGCAGAAGAGAACAGAGACAACCGGCTAGGTCATTGTTGTAACGCTGCGTTTCATGCACATAGCAAAGCTAAGGCAATCCTCAGACAACTGACACACACACAAACGTCTTGTCAGTCGGCCCGGATCCGCAATTCACTGTTCCATGCGAAGACAAACAGTAGGCAAACCTCAGATCACGCTTCGACGAACCCTGAAGGAGGAGCAACGTTGACGACTCGAGTCTTGAGAGCAGTTGTCGTGTCTTGGTGACATTGCCGGAGGCGATCGTCAAAACAGTCTGACTCCTTGACCAGCAGACTGCGTTGGGTGACAAAGACGAAGTTATGACCAAGAGACAAGGTGGAAAGTCATGTTCGCCAGTACATTGACAGCGCTCAAGAATGCACCATCCTTGTGGATGCACGACGGTCTCCTTCATTTTCGGACACCCTCACGCGGCGTATATCTACAGGCCATACACGTATCTCGGCAGTCTCTCTGCGCCACGGCCCGCCACGGCCCACAGGGCGCAAACACACACTGTGGTCATGTTCGTTCCAGTTTGGGAGCAGAAGGAGATGTAGCAACATCGTTCCATTGCAGTTGAAACGGTGGCATAGTCTTCCAAACGAAACACAATAATGCGACACAGTTTCGTTTCCACTTCGCTCGTCCAGAGCCACCTCCCATTGCAGTAAGTACATCGTGTCTGGAGATCCAACCGCCGCTTGCAAATGTGCAAACGACGAACACGATCCGATAACGATAGCCTACGGCCTCGGTGCCTGGAGCAAATAACTTCTCAGTGCCGATGTTGTCTATTGACCCCTTCAGGTACATGCACAGAGGAAGTGTTGTGCATATTGGGAATAAAAAATGAAAATAATATGCAATAACCTGTGCTGCTAGCTGGAGAATGAATACACGTAAAGCAACTCTGAAAATAGAACTCGCACTCACAGGTACTAGGTATGGACGCGAAGTTTACACCTCGGTGCAGGATGGGCTGCGTATAGTGCTTATAACAATGTCAGTATTATCACCTCGAGATAGTGCACACTGTGCTGTGACCGGAATCAGGTCTGTTTCGGAGAGATCAAAGGCAAAGGCGCACTCGTTGCCTTCG